TGCTTATGGACAGGCTTCGTCCTGACTGGTAGGGTCCGACAGGTTTTTTGGGTTTTTTTTCGGGATCTGCCGAGACCACCAAATTCAGGTGATTTATTCTGTTACCCGGCACAGCACGGCTAAGGTCTCCTTGTCAGAGCCCTCTTCGGTTTCCACGTTACTTAGTTTTAAACTGCTGCCGTAAGGGAAAGAAGAAAAAAGCAAAAGACTAAATATTGCCACAGGAAATTAAATAACTTGTGCACCGATTTTTTCCCCTCTTTTCTACAATCTAAGAAGATTAAGGATGCTCCAATAAAGTATGACAATGTTTGGGGTTGGATATTCTGTTTAGAGTAGTCATCAACATGAAATCTGAGCACGTGTACGCAATCTTATTTACGTTCTTTTCAATAATTTCAAGTCTCTTACAGTTTTTGATTGGCCTTTCAAAATCTGGGTTAGCATGGACTAATAGACTTAGGTGAGCAAGTGAAAGAGCATTAGCTTTTTTTTTTTTTTTAGGTCTGGTAAATACGTGTCTTGAACGAGAAAACTTTTTAGTTGTTTATTTAAACATCTTGGATGAGAAAACTTTTTATTATGCTTTATTTAAATGTTTGGTTGCATTTTGGGATACAAATCATGTCATATTTAAAATACACATACGAATTTCAAACATCAATCAACCGAGTGCTAGAAACAGCAAAGAACTCGACCTTTTTGCTTAGCCTCCAAATCAGTGGTGAGTATAACGCGGCTAAGAGCTTAAATTGACTCAAATGGGTGTGGGGCTCAGAGTCTTGACTCAAATATGTGTGGGGCACAGATGCTGCTACCTGTTTCATTTGACAAGGATGGCGTTTCCCTGGTCAGCAAGGAAATTTGTGTAGCTCAGCATGGAAGGTCAAGGCTTTGCGGGTCCTTTTTTCTTGTTATTTTATTCCTTAGTATCTGTGAAGAAGGACAAATGTAAACCTCCATTAGTGTAATCAACATTTTTTTTAAATTAAACATTTCTAGGATTACATTGCTCTTGCTGCTATTTTCTTTTTGATATTCCTTTGGCAAATCTTTTTTTTAAAGGAGCTCTGCAAAATATAGAGATTTCTAAGTTCATACTCATATTTCTGCACTTACCTGAGTGACTGACCTAAATTTACTACATTTCAGATTCATTTGATTCTTCACCTCATTCTGACTTCTTCTGTCAACAATGGTACTATATAATCCAAGTGCTATATCCTTATGTTTTACTTGTCATTTTAGAACTCTTTCGAACTGAAAAAAGTATGTTGTTCTTATTTTATATTCAATTTAAGTTCTTTTTCTTTGTTCTTTTCCCAGCCAGTTTCAGTTTAATGTGGATTTGTTGTCAGTAGTTAGCGTTTCATTTATTATGCTTGTCATACTTTCCTTAACAAGGTAGATAGAAATGTCATGTATAAAGTCATGGTTTACATGGAACTATTTTGGGTTCTAAAATCTTGTCGTCTGGTGTTTTGAACGTAATAAAAATAATGCATTAACTTCTTTCATTATTTCAGAAAAATTATTTTTGAAAAGCAGTGGTTTTATCTGGATAATGCCATCGGACATGTTTATGGAACTACATTTGAAGTAACTAGTGGTGGGAACCTCCAGCCAAAGCAAGAGATAGAGGAGACTACCACAGGTATTTCAGAGGATTGACTGATGGTTAGAAAAACGCGTGCCAATTAATTTGCTGCTTTGATGCGACCAAAGATGATGGAAAATAAGCTTTCTATTAATCATTTGATAACGTTTGTAACTTACATTCTTTCTGTCATAAAAATGCATGGTTTTGTCTTGGTCTACCATTTCACTAGTCCTGTGACAAAGAAAAAAAATTTAATATGGGAGAAAATTTGAATTTTAGCCTGGGTGAATACATATACTGAGGCCTGTGTTACATATGACATTTAACTGATTGCATAGGCAATATTATGCAAGACCACAAAGCATGTGGGTTTAATCCTGAGAAGTCTGCTTTCTGTGAAACTAAAATTTTATGTTTCTCCAACTTAAAAAAGTATTTAGAGCTAGATTTTACAAATCCGTATCCTTTTTCTTTAGAAACAAAAGAAGCAGGTACAGATAATCGTAACATAGTTGACGATGGAAAGTCTCAAAAACTGACTCATGATGACATAAAGGCTTTGAAGGACAAGGGTATTAAAGGACAGGTAACATTAAGGTTTTGGTGTCATTTCTGTGCTACCTTGATGGTTATATTTTAGTTTATGAAATAGGCTGTTCTTTCTAATGGTGCATAGACTTTGGTGCTTTTTCTTTGTTCTTCTGCTCAAGTCATGTTTTTCCTAGAGATCTGTTTTTATAAAAATGCAAAGCCTGTTTTCAGAGGAAACTTCGTGTAAGGTTGGCAACTTTGTCAAGAGTACAGTACGAATTTTTACTGCATCAGAAGTCATAACAGACAAAAAAGAATATAAAACGATTGAGAAAATACAATTCACATAATCAGTTGGTTTTGTTTGTTTATGAGATTGAAAACAATCATTCTATATTACTACTTATTTCTATGCTATAGACATACTGAAGTCATAGTATAATTATACTATCAAAGCTGTAGGAGGCTATTACCGACAAACACAAAAATGTTAACAAGTAACATTGTGTAACAGATGTGCTATCCCTCTGCCTCTAGGTGGTACCTACCGAACTGTGATGCATGTGTTTTATCTGCATCTCAAAAGCGTAAGAATGTTCTCAAGGGACCGATACTGTTTTGATAGAGAAGGGATATTTTTTTACCCCATACTTTGTTAGCAAGAGGTGAGGCCTTCTCGAGTGTTAATAAACCCTTTCAGTAAGTGGCATTCTGCACCTATTATCAGAAAAAAATTCTCTCTCATCTTTGGTTTACCCTGTCTAATAAAAGAAAGGAATTACTCATGCTTACATCAAGTTCATCTCCTCTTTGCATCTTGCTGTTTGCTGCTGCTGTTCAGAGCAGCTGTTCTGCTTTCTGCCTGCTTAATAATGGATGGGTCCAAGCAGAAGTACTTTTTCTGTTTCCATGGTTGAGCTGCTCCTGCTATTATGACTTTGAGTAGAATGTACTAATCAGTCTGATAGCTTTGACATTTTCTGTTAGTTCTCATTATCTGGGACGGAAGATCCCTCTGGCTCTTCTGTGTGTCCTCAGCATGTCTATGCCACACATCTACTGTATTATTAATTTAGGTTATTAAAATGTCCTTTATTAACAGTGGTTTCTGAACTGTAGCTGCAAATTCATTTTAGACCGTGTTATATTAGCAACAATAGACATTATTCTTCCATGAACACGTGGTAAAATTTGAGTTAATATTTGTGAATGACATTGCTTTGTCAATTTAGGAGATGACTGTTCTTTGAAATAAAGTAACCTCAGTGTTAATGGGGTTTGATTTTTTTCCATCACCTTCCCAAATCCTTCCCAGGTCCTGAGCAATAGTTAGGTAGTGTTAGGCTGCAGACTGGGAGCAGTATGTACTCCCAGGGTACTGCATAATGCTGCAGCTTCCCTTTGGTTCTTTGTACTACAGGAATATTCCCTGGTTTCTTCAGGGTAAATTTTACTGACAAAAATCCAGGTGCTGCATTCAACTACAAGTATAAGGCAAAAAAGAAAAAATATGCTGCCCCGCCATATTCACAATACATTTTAAGGTGTTTGAATGACCTTAAGAAATAGTGGTCTGAAAAATAGCAGCTCTGAGAAATACTTGCATCAATATATTTTGTATCAGGTTCTGAAAGCATACTGGGAGATGCAGTGTCCACCTCAAAAATACTCCTTTTCTCATCTTCCTCCCCCAATTCCTATTAGGCCAGGTTATAGTATTGCTTTTTATACATGTTTAACAGGAACTTCTGAGTTTAGCAGTTAAACTAGTTTGAGCACAGCCAACAAAACAGCAGTGTGCAGCATTTGTTCTTCTATTGCAGGCATAGTCACAAAACCTGAGAGATGATAACCTTTTTCTATTGGGGTCTTAATGATCCTTCCAGCTGGAATCTGAGAGTATGAGGAGGAAGAGTTGGATTGGCAAGGGGAGTAGATTAGAACAAAGAGATGAGGAGACAAAAACTAGAATTCTTGAGAAAAGCTGGGAGCTAGAGAAGGAAGAAGTCATGAGGAGTATTGTAGGAAACAGTAAACGTTAAGGAGTCTGACATCAAGCAAGGAGCTGGTACAAGACTAGCGCAATTTGGGAGACGGAAGAA